CCCTAGTTCCCTGAGTAACGAAATGGGAAGTGGCTGGAAAGGAAAGAAAAGAAAACGCTTGAGAGAGTTTAATGAACTTACGATTGTGCCCTTGCTGGTTATTGGCCAAATTGGGTTTCAATGGGGCCGGTTATTTTTTAATGGAAAAGAAACAATAAATTCAATTTAGGAATTAGGATATACAGATTAAATATTTTTAAAAATTATTTAAGTTTGACAAAATATATCACAAGTTTTATTTTCTCCTAATTTTTGGAAATTAAAATAAATTCAATCCATGGTCTTATTAATTAGTTTTTTTTTTTTATAAATTTTGTACACTTTAATTAATAGTTTTATGGGAATTAGGTATTTTGTCCGATTAAGGGGCTGTCTGGGAGGGATTGTTTTGCCAAAGAAAATTGATTTTACTACCGTTAACTACTAAAGGTGGGCTCCACATGTGACACATTCAGTCAACATTGGCCGCTGGACTTCATCTTCAATGATACAAAAATCAAGTAAACATGCTCCCAGACAACTCCTAATTGCATTATCATCATCACCCACAGCTTGCAAAGCAGAAGCCAAATCACATTGTTCATCAGCATAACCATTCTTCATATAAAAAATAGCTTCATCTAAGGCCTTAATGGCTGCCTCATACTCACCCACATCGAAAAGAGCACTACCCAAAAGCTTCAAAACCCTAAAATGTGTAGGTCACAAAATAGTAGCTTTTCCATAATGCTCACAAACACTAATAAGCTTACCTTCACCTTCAAGTGCAATTCCCACATTCACATGAATCTTGGGCAACAGACATGCCATGGATTCCCAGTATAACAACCCGAGTCCCACTTAACGGGTTGTTATAGCCGTTAGATCGACGACGTACTGTCCCCACTGTACCAACATGGGTCTTTTCGACATACTTTATTCTCACTCGCACGCTCTCCAAGAAAAATTCCCAAGGGGTTACCCATCATAGAATTGCTCCAAACTAAGCACGCTTAACTGTAGAGTTTTTAATGATGGACTTTCAGAAAAGAAGGTGCACCTTGTTGGTATGAGTAGTACCTATCAAATCTTTCAAACTTTCCTAGTCTGGGTATTACAATCACCCCCCGTTAGACTCGCGATGTCCTCGTCACGCTTGATCCATCTGAGGATCCGTTGCCAAGCGTTGGAATTCTAGAGGTGGCTCCCACGAGTTCAAGAGGTGGCTCCCCCTCTATGGCGTAGCACTTTGTCCCACATAGCAACCGGGCTCTGATGCAATTTGTTACGACTCGGGTCCCATTTAACGGGCTGTCCCAGTCGTTAGATCGATGACGTACTGTCCCCGTTGTACCACATGGGTCTTTTCATCATACTTTATCCTCACTCGTACGCTCTCCAAGAAAACTTCTCAGGAGGTCACCCATCATAGAATTGATCCAAGTTAAGCACGTTTAACTGTAGAGTTTCTAACAATAGACTTCTGGAAAAAAAAGGTCCACCTTGTTGGTATGAGTAGTACCTATCAAATCTTTTAAACTTTCCCGATCTGAGTATTACACCCAGTGCTAGCAGAAATTCCACTTTGGCCTCACTATGCCTCCCACACATACAAACATTTCCCTGTACTAAAATGCGGACTGACATCAAGTGACTGCAACTCGCATGCTCTCTTGAAACTTACCAAAGCCTCCTTCAACAAAAAATATGTTCCCTGACTTGTTCCATGAGCAATAGACCTCAAAACTCCCAATTCCTTCATAAAAACTGCATAGTCATGCCTCAGCTCTTCCCAAACCACATTTTTCTCCATAATCTCCATTGATGGGCCAAGCTCTCAAGACCAACCTCGATTTGAAGATTGACGTCTGGTGACAACGATTTGAACGGTCGGAGAGCTCATTTGGTTCAGTAGCTACAACAGAAGATTAAAATTTAAATGTAGTTGAGAAAGGCAGAGAGGTGAGTGACAATCGAAAGAGCGATCTAGAATTCTTGCAAAGTCAGCTCGATTTACTCACGGAAAAGGTAGCATTTAATACATGAATTGGCATTAGTACTTTATTAAATATTTAGTTTAGGTTATGTGTCAAGTTTCTGTTTGTCAACACAATTTATAATTAAATAAAAAAGTTATTTCTTGTGGATTTCTCTTTGTTATCAAGGGTATCTTGGTCTAAATTTTATCAAAATGTACATTGAATAAATTTTGAATATTTTTGCAAATAACCATGTGAAAGTTGACATTTTTTACAATTTCCTCTTGCATGCATAACACACACACACGTGTATATATTTTGTTTTGTAGCACTTTTAACACCTGCTTTCTTCCTCTAGTGGGACCCACCAGAAGCCCTACCAAACACAAAGAGGGACGGGGACAAATAACATTTCTATTCTAAACTATTATACACAAATTAAAATTAAATCGAACCAACATATTTTGTTCCTAACACTTATGTTTTAGAATGATGTTATGATATTATAATAATGGATCATTAGTGATGTGACAACTTATGTGAAAGAATGGGATATGAGAGTTCAATTTCCCTCTCTCTCATGAAAATTCAACTATCCAATCCTATTATTCCACATAAATTGCCACATCACTGATGATCCATCATTATAATGATAAATAACATTACTCTAAGTTTTAACATTACCTTTCAATCCAAGTGGGACCCACAAAAAGCTCCTATGTTGGGTTGGTGTGAGTGGGGGTGTAAGCCGGGGAGAGTTTTTTGGCCCTTTTGCAATTGCAGTCTATGTGCACAGATATTATGCTTAGCCGTCCTTTCACTATGCAATGTACTAACTCCCCACGTGCTTCCACATCATCTTTATGACGTAGCCATGATATGGATACAATGGATTGGGAGTGTGATCGCACCCGCTAGATGAGATTGTTTTGCCTAGTCAATGGTGTAAGGTTTTAATTGTGCTATTGACAAAATTGGATATATTTACAAAAGGGCCCCTGTCAAGGTTTTTTTATGCACAAGGGGTTTTTCAAAGAAAAGATTTTTTCGCAAAAAATAAATAAATTACAAACATCCTCTCTAATTTATGACAATTATAAAAACATCCTCTCTAATTATGAAAAATTACAAAACTCCAATTTAGCATAAATTTATTTCCTTTTACAAATAAAAACAATCGATATAGCTTTCAAAATTAGATTTTCTATTTTTCAATATTAACTTTTTTTTGTCATAGAGAGATGTAAGATTGATCCAAATTTAAATTCAAACATTATTACATAGATTTATTATTAATAATTACTTTAGCTAAAAAAATGCTCGTAATAAAATAATGTTAAAGAAATAAAAAAGAGAAATGAGGATAGCTAAATATTATTTAGAAATAGTTTCACATTGTATTTAATAAAATATAAAGTAAAATAGGAATTAAAAATCGGGGAATTATTTATAAAAGCAAACTACCTAGAAGTTTCTGTAAGTTTTGAAAAATAGGGGGTGTTTTGTAATTTTCAAAAAAATTGAGGTTGTTTTCGTAATTTATCCAAAATATTAAGAAACTTTAACTTGGAAATGACAAAAGTGAGGAGACATACTTTGTTTAATTTCAAAAATGCCATTGCTATTTAGGAATGTAAACGAGTGGCTCGCGAGCCGAAGCTCGTGGCTCGATAAAAAATGACTGAGCTTTTTTGGCCGAACTCGGCTCGAGTCTTAGGTTGCCTCTTTCTTAAACTGATATGTGAGAAGAAACAAGTTACTCTTAATGTTGATTTCTTCAGTATCTTGAAATTACACACATCTTCACTATAAAGAAAAAATACTAAAGAAGAAAAACTCGTTGCTTTCATATCAAGTAATCTCTGTAGTGTGGTATTTATTTTGATCTAGATTTGTCTTCATATAGTAGTTAATTGCCTTTGGAATCGTGTACAAAAAAATTCCGTAAGTGCCATTCAATTAGAAAACAAAAATCAAAATTTTATATTTGACCTAACTCGATTGCTATGGGCTGCTATGCGCTACTATGAACCGCTACCAACAAGAAGAATTTCCTTCAAAGTTGCCCAAGTTGCGATTGCAAGAGGCATTTACGTGATCGCAACACTACTTCTACTTTTTTGTTCAGTTTTTTTTCTTGACTCTTGTGCGTTTTAGTCCCAGCTCAAGGTTTTTCTACAATTTTGGTCCCTTCAACTTTAAAAATCCAAATTACGTCCCACACTTCCTATTGCTTCCGTATTGATCCTTCATTTTCCAAACTCCTCTACTTTGATACTTCAACTTTTATTTTCTTCAAATTTGATCTTCCAAAGTGTTGATAATGTTCAAGTTGGTCCCAAACTTTTCCAAACCTAGAATTTGGTCCTCAAAACTTCTGAATTCATCTAATTTGCTTCCAATCAAGTCCAAACTTCCCTAAAACTTGTCCATTTCTTATTTAAAGCTTCAATTAAGCTCCAAGTCGAATTTTCACCTATAAAAGCAATACATAATCATTGAAGTAGTAGTAGCTGCTTCACAACATGTAGCCTTGCAACCTATTGCTGCTTTGCAACACGAAGTTGCTGCAGAACTACAGTGATTATTAGAATTTGAAATCCAATCCCATGCATTAATTTAAAATGTAATGCATATAATTCACATCAGTTAAACTAGTTGTAGATTTTCTTGGACATTAGAAAAGATAACTTTACAAGCAATTCGAGACAACAATTTTTCAATAATATAAAGTTATGGCTAATCCATGTATGCCCAATTTCACTCTTTCAACTAAAAACTATATATACTTATATTTATTGTAAATTATGTCTGTTCTTGGTGCAATTTGAGTCCAATTGAGTACCATACTATGGTATGTAAACTAGACTTAACCAAGTGATAGACTACCAAAATTATAATAGTCTTCATGCACCAAAATTAATGCTGTTTGAGAAAGAATTTAGGAACACACCTTAGTTATATTTATGAACAATCATGCTTCATGTACGCACGCTAACCTATATCCATTAAATTGAAAAATCAATGCATCTATCATTTTGTGGGTTTAAGTAATGGAATATAGAGTCCATCAAACTTGGCTCTAATACTAATGTCGGAAGTTGTGTGGGTATTGAATCAAACCAATGATCTTTAAGTCCAAAACCTCATGATGGTCCACAACATGCATGACTCAGAGTGTGTAGGTGTGACTCAAAAGGTATCTATAATCTAGGAATATAACTGAGAGAGAAATAAATCTTATGAAATTACTTTGTGTTGAATACAAAACTATTGAGGTCCCATTTATAAGCTGGCGGATAGACTTATTTAGGGGGTTGTTTAACAAATATTTTGATAAAAGTTTGAGCTGATTTTTATAGAAGTTGATGAAATGCGTAATTAAGCCCATTATACTAAACTTCTATTTTAGGTGGATTCTCATACCATTTTTATTGGTATGAATTCTATTTGACAAGTAGGTAGTTTTCTTAAATGCAATGAATAGAATATTTTCAAGGCTCATTGACCTTGGAGCAACATTTTTCAAAGTTAAGGGACACTCGGATAACATGTACAGTTTGCCTAGAAGTCAGGGACATGACTTCAAGTTCAATTAGTAATAACTCGATACTTTGAATATATACTAGGGCGGTGAATGTAGTTCAATTTGAATTTTAAACTATTTGAACTCGATAGTAATAACTCGATACTATTTTGAACTCATAGTTGCACTATCTTCTAAATAAACATCTTTTGATTCTTCTTGAATATTTTTATTTTCTCCTTTAGGGAACCATGATAAGTTCAAAATTATCACGTTCTCATAATTATTAAAAAATCAACTTAATGACATCCGTATGATATCCCATAACGAACAAAAACACTACAAACCAAAATCAATTAATTACAAAATTGAGTTACCGTACGTGGCATACATGTGGTGGTTAATGATTTGATACATGAGACAATAAAAAAACTACCACATTAATGCAACAAACCACTAATCACCACATGTAAGCCATGTAGGGCGACTACGGTAGTTTTCAAATAGTATTATTTAACTTAAAAAGTGATAATAAAAAAGAAAGAAAAAAATAATTATATAGACTTGCATGTTGGTTTTAACCATTAAGATGCCAAAGTTGGACTAATATAATGTTGCAGTAATCAATTGATGCATATACCCATATATCGCCATAGGCAACAATTACAAGCCACCTCGGATAGTATTGCATTCCCCTTTTTTTCTTTTAAATATATACTTTTTAGAGTATGTTTGATTGATATTATTGAGGAAAGAATGTATTTTAAACAGTGATATGATGGAAAATATGTGATTAAAATAATAATGATTACAGTCCTAACTACAAATATTTTGATTTTTATAGACCAATGGTATGTTTATTATATTATATTTCGGCATTTTGAGAACCACAAACATTTTATAGTGTGTTTGAGTCACATTAAAATTCTCATTTTCAATCACTCTTCTTCAATAAAGTAATATTTTTTATCACGTCAACAATTTTTCCTTCTTTTTCAATCACACATTCTCCATCAATCTACAATTCCAAAATATATTCTTCCAAAATAATGTGGCTCAAACACACTATAAAAAGTTTTGAATCCTGTGACTATGGTCCAACTGAGTAATTTATGGTCCAAAGTCAACAGATCTTAACTCTACTATTATAGGCAATATATCTTGTGATGTCCAAGTCCAAATCAGTTAGTCAAAGTCAGACAAAATTAGTCGGGTCTTTAGCCCCACTTTGTTGTAAATTAAATTAAAAATTAAATTTAACCAAAGATTTTATGAAATCTACAATTTTTCAATCACATACTTCATCAACTTCTATCA